ATGAAATACGGTTGGTAAAATGAGGTTCTACTGGTAATCTCATCATTCTGTCTTTGTAAAATTACCAAGAATAGTGAGATGGCAAAGATATCGATGGACCTTGGTAAAAACGCCGATATTTTTTATCGCCTGTGGTAGAATTACAGAGATAAAATGGTAAATTAAGTTACCGGGAATTGATTACGAATAAAAGTGGTATTCTTACCTGGAAAAATCAGTAAAAATACCGGTCTGCCTTTCTAACATTACCAATGATTGATAAAAAAAAGAGATGGTAAAGTTACCAACGGACCTTGGTAAAAACGGCAGCGGCGGCGGCATAGAAACATGTTTCATAAGCGTCATTCATGCGTTAGTAGGCGTTGATGAAAAATTGCAATTTATTGCAATTTTATCTCTATAAAATCGCGTTCGATAAAATCGCGATTTTATTGCAATTTATCGCGATTTTTCTCCCGATAATATTGCGATGATTCGCCGTCGATAAAATCGCGATTTTTTTATCCGATAATATTGCAATAAATCGCGACGTCGATAAAATCGCGATATATTCTCCGATTAAATCGCAATTTATGGCGATCACTACTACTCGGGAATTGCAGCAGCAAATCCAAAAATTGTTACGCATCACCGCCACTCTTTAATTTAAATATCAAACCGACCTGTGGCCTTTTATCAAGGTTAATATAAATACATCCCGTTTTATTAATGACAAACCTATTATATTTCGTTTATATTATATTATATTCTATCCTATTTGCTTTCCATCCATTTTATTTTATCCCATATAAACCGTTTCAAACTGATTATTCACCTTTTTTTAAAACTCCAACCTTAATTGAAGTAAGTTTTTAGCTAAATTGAAGATGATCTTTTGAATGAATAAGCACTTAACAGAACTTCAGCAGTATTAATATTAATACAATTTACGAGAATAATGTAAATTAAAAAAAATTAAGTGATATTTTCATAACGAATTGACAGAATATACGAGGGGGTTGGGCCGCGGAGCGGCCAGGGGGCGGAGCCCTCTAGTTGAAAAATAATTTTTCAATTTTCAGGTCTTTTTTCCGTCGGGAATATGTTATCTTTTAAGTAAAATTTTTTATTTGAAAGTCTTTCTACCGATTGAATTGTCGAGTTTTCATGTAATTTGTTCCGTTATTTAATGCAATTAAGTTCAATTGACTCTACACACTGTTGACACGCATCCTTATTATCACCTTCCTACAATTTAACAATTGAAAATTTCCAGAGTTTTTGTTGAAAATTCTGTGATTAATTTAGAATATGCAGTTCGTACGCTTTTCAAAAACCGCTTGTCTCCTTGTTGGTTTGAACCTCAACCATCTGATTTTCCTTAAGTAGGATCCGATAGTCAGTCAACTTCCAAATGAAAAAAAATAAATTTACCGACACAATTATTGTATCTTATGTATTTATATTCTCTGCGGACGGCTAATTTTTGTTTTTAGTCGGTGTCATGACGAAACTAGATCTCAATAAAAGTTTATTTGGTCAACTGATATATTTTGGTTTTCACGAGCCATCTTTGAAAGTAGTATAACTTTCACGCGCCATTTCTGTACTAACAGTTATTTTCTATTTTATTTGAATCGTTGTTTTTATACTCGAGCTTTATTGTTTAGATACCGGGATTTTCAATTTTTTTCTTGTATTTTTTGTTTTTGTATGCTTTGTTCTTGTCTTCTATGATTTCCATTTAGAGCAGGAAAATCTTCAGGGCCCAGGAAATTCTTTTTGCCGTCTAGCTCCAAGTTTTCGTGGAATCCTTCATCTCCAAAGAGGTTTTCGAGGGTTTCATTCTGTAACACTACAGGCATTTCAATTTTCCGAGCTGTAACTCCGTTAGTTACAGTTTCAAACTGTACTCTACTTCAAAAAATCAACCTCGTCTTGATGACAAAAATGAGAAGAAAAATAAGAAAAATAAGAAGGAAACAAAGCAATACTAACAGTTTCAAAATATTTAAAACAGCAACGCAGTGTATCGAGAAAATTACTTTTTAGGTAATGTAAACGTTAATCCCCTCTTTCATAAAGGGTAGATCCAGGCAGAGAAAATCAAGCAAAAACACAACGCAATTACCGAACAAACAAAAAGTAATCGCGTGTACAGTACTAGGAATTTTTTCAGGTGTCGCAGCACAAAGCTCACTCTTGTCCTCCCGTTTAAGCGACAAAGTTGTGAATCATCACTTAGTATTCCTTTTTCTCTTCGCAGAGCTTTTTCCCAAAACGGTCCGAGGAAATCTGCAGAAGTCATTGAGTTGCAATCCCAATTTCTCGTGACAACCATGTTTAAAATCTACGTGACGTAATCTAACTTCTAAACGACTTTTCCAGAACCTGGTTACACCTTAAAACTCGGCATTACTTCCTGTTTATTCGAGCATGGAACCCCACAAGAGCGGCAGCGGTGAAAGCTCAAGATAACAGGAAAGCTGTGTTATTGTTTCGGATTGAGCTAAACCTGCGGTCGGCGGCACGACAGGACGCAGCGATAGCAAAAGGACATAAAACAGGAGAGCAGTTAAGAGTATGTTTACACGTGAGATGGACTAACCTGGTCGTGGGAACGTGCGGGCGGTCTCGTGGTGCTCGCGGGCGCGGTGCGGGTTGCGTTATGCGTCTCTCGAAGGCGTCGAAGACAGAACTAACCTCACCTGCGAGGAGCGCGGAGCCGGAGCGGCCACGTGAAGGAGCCCGAGCGGCGCCGAGGAAGCCCGAAGACGCCCGAGTCGAAGTGTTTACCAACACACCTTCCGCACGCGGGCCCAGATGCCCATTGATCATCCCCCCGCGCGGAGGGCGCCGCCAATCACGAGACGCCCTTTTGGCGGGAAATTCGAGCGGGAGGCGGGCGACCGGCCACCTGCTCCGCGCCGGCCTCTTCCGCCCCCGCGTGAATGAAATATAGCTTCTTTGTCGCCGGTGACGCGCCCCTCGTCCACGTTTCCCGCCCCCTTTTTTTTCATCCCCGCTACGCTTCCGCGTTTGTGTTCGCTCTAATTTTCTCGGTTTCGCGGATTCGATTCGCCGCTTCTCTCATGGAAGAACGTATCTACATTTCAATGTTGCCAGATTTTTCAGCGAGAATTGCAGTATTATCAGGAGAATTTTGAGGATCTCTGACTGGGTATTTTACCAATTTTCCCTCTGATCCAATTCAAAAATCAGACACGTTTTCTTCAAAAATTATGCAAATTTGATCTCGTTGGAAATTGAATTGTTTGAGCTAGACTTGCTAGCCGTCTATGCAGCCCTTAGAATATGCAATAGCACGTAACCGCACAACTTTCGCGCTTTGTGAGTTTTAAACTCACCAGTGAAAAATCTCGTCTCGCATCGTGTGTTTCACCGAATAGCCGTGTACACAGCCATTAGATTCTCTAAATTCACGTAATCGCATATCTTCCGCGCTTTGTGAGTTTTAAACTCACAAGTAAAAAATCTCGTCTCACGTGATGCACTCGACCAATTAGCCGTTTATGCAGCCCTATGAATCTCCATAAGCACGTAACCACACAACTTCCGCGCTTCTTGACTTTTAAACTTTGAAATGAATGATTCCGATTCGCATTATGCGTTTGATCGAACAGCCGTGTATGCAGCCTTAAGAAACTCCATAAGCACGTATTCGCACGACTTGGTCGATTTGTGAGTTTTTAACTCACAAGTGGAAGATCTCGTCCCACATGATGCGTCCGACCGATTAGCCGTGTATGCTGCCCTAAGAATCTCCAAAAGCACGTAGCCGCACAACTGCCGCGCTTTGTGAGCTTTAAACTCACAAGTGCAGGATCTCGTCTCACAAGATTCGCTCGACCAATTTGCCGTGTATGCAGGCATTAGAATCTCCAAAAGCACGTAACCACACAACTTCCGCGCTTTGTGAGGTTTAAATTAAGAAATGAAAGATCTCGATTCGCATGATGCGTTCGACAGATTAACCACGTATGCAGCCGTGGGTCTCTCCAGAAGCACGTTACAACATAACATCTGTGCTTTGTGATCTTAAACTTAGTAATGAAGGATCTCCTCTCCCATGATAAATTCGACGGATTAGCCTTGTTATGTATCCCTCAGTATCTCTAACAGCAGGTAACCGCACAACTTCTGCACTTTGTGAGTTTTAAACTCACAAGTGAAAATCTCGTCTCGAATTATGCAGTCGACCGAACAGCTGTGTATACAGCCCTTAGATTTTCTAAATGCACGTAATCGCACATCTTCCGCGCGTTGTGAGTTTTAACTCACACTTGAAGGATCTCGTCTCCCATGATAAATTCGACGGATTCGCCTTGTACGCAACCCTTAGAAGCTCCAAAAGTAGGTAACCGCACAACTTCAGTGCTTTGTGAGTTTTAAACCCACAAGTGAAAAGTCCCGTCTCGTATAATGTGTTCCACCGAATAGCCGTGAATGCAGCTATTAGATTCTCCAAATGCACGTAAGTGCCTATCTTCCGCTTTTCGTGAGTTTTAAAGTCACAAGTGGAAGATCTCTTCCGTATGATGCGTTTGACCGATTAGCCGTCTGTGCAGTCCTTAGAATCTACAACAGCACGTAACTGCACAATTTCCGCGCTTTGTGAGTTTTAAACTCACACGTGAAAAATCTCGTCTAACGTGATGCACTCGATCGATTAACTGCGTATGCAGCCGTGGGTTTCTCCAGAAGCACGTTAACACACAACTTCTGTACTTTGTGAGTTTTAAAATCACAAGTGAAAAATCTCGTCTCGTATGATGAGTTCGACCAATTAGCCGTCTATGCAGCCCTTAGTATCTCCAAATGCACTAACCACACAACTTCCGCGCTTTGTGAGCTTTAAACTCACAAGTGCAGGATCTCGTCTCACATGATGCGCTCGACCAATAGCCGTGTGTGCATTCCTAAGAATCTCCTGTTGCGGGGAGGTCAGGAAAATGACGCGAACCACATATAACTCTCGTATAACATATAATAATCACAATAAAATCTTACATCAACAAAACACTCTGAAAACTGACAATTCTAAAACTTGACTAGCCTCTCACGGGGGGACTAACCGGACCATTCGGGAATCTATTCCTCGCGACTGATCTCGCCCATGCGATCACCGAATATTTTATGTCAAAACGTGTGCACTTCCGCGACACTGAAGCTTCACGTTTAGACATAAACAAGCGCCAACTTCCGACGGACCTATCTCTATCGCTGGCCCTGGAAATCCGTGGGAAATCCGTGAATTCTCACGAAAAGCCATAACGCAAAGCACGCCTAATCTATGGAGCCGAATGTGGGGAACTGAAGCCTGTTAAGACTTAAGCGTTCCCACAACACTCCAAAAGCACATAACCGCACAACTTCCAAGCTTTGTGAGTTTTAAATTCGGAAATGAAAGATCTCGAATCGCATGATGTGTTCGACCGATTAACCGCGTATGCAGCCGTGGGTCTTTCCAGAAGGATGTTACCACACAACTTCTGTGCTTTGTGATTTTAAACTTAAGGCCTTGTCCACACGAGCGCAGTTCGCGGAACTTATTCCTCGAACTTGCTCAGTTCCCGGAACTTATTCTTTGAAACGAGGCATGCTGTCCACACGGGTTCGTCCGAACTGGAACCGGAACTTCAATAAAACTATACAATTATTGCAAAATAATAGATTATTATGACCGCCAAAGTAACAAAAATAAATGTCAAGATCATATGTAAAGGACGTGAAAAACAAAAATAAGCAAATTCACATCAAAAGAAACATATTTAGAAGCTCGGAGCACGGGGGAAATTCCAGGTTTCGGAGGAATAAGTTTCAGCGCAGCAAAAAACTTGTTCCGGGAACAAGTTCCTCACCTGAGTTCCGCGAACCGCGTTCGTGTGGACAAGGACTAAAAATGAAGGATCTCGTCTCCCATGATAAATTCGACGAATTTGCCTTGTATGTAGCCCTTAGAATCTCCAAAAGCAGGTAACCGCACAACTTCTGCGCTATGTGAGTTTTAAACTCACAAGTGAAAAATTTCGTCTCGTATGATGTGTTCGACCGAATAGCCATGTATACAGCCATTAGATTCTCTAAGTGCACGTAATTGCATATCTTCTGCGCTTTGTGAGTTTTAAACTCACACTTAAAAGATCTCGTCTCACATGATTAATTCGATGGATTAGCCGTTTATGCAGCCCTTAGAATCTGGAATAGCACGTAACCGCACATCTTCCACGCTTTGTGAGTTTTAAACTCACAAGTGAAAAATCTCGTCTCACGTAATGCACTCGAACAATTAGCCGTGTATGCAGCCCTTAGAATCTCCAAAAGCACGTAACCACACAACTTCCCCCTTTTGTGAGTTTTAAACTTAGAAATGAATGATTCCGAATCGCATGATGCGCTTGATCGAAAAGCCGTGTATGCAGCCTTAAGAATCTCCAAAAGCACGTAACCGCATGATTTCGTCGCTTCGTGAGTTTTAAACTCACTAGTGAAAGATTTCGTCCCACATGATGCATCCGACCGATTAGCCGTGTATGCAGCCATAAGAATCTCTAAAATCACGTAATCGCACAACTTTCGCGCTTTGTGAGTTTTGATCTCACAAGTGAAAAATCTCGTCTCGTATGACGTGTTCGACCGAATAGCCATGTACATACCCATTAGATTCTCTAATTGCACGTAATTGCACGTCCTCTGCGCTCTGTGAGTTTTAAACTTACACTTGAAAGATCTCGTCTCACATGATAAATTCGATGGATAAGCCGTCTATGCAGCCCTGAGAATCTGCAATAACACGTAACCGCAGAACTTCCGCGTTTTGTGAGTTTTAAACTCACAAGTGAAGAATCTCGTCTCACGTAATGCATTCGAACAATTAGCCGTGTATGCAGCTATTGGAATCTCCATAAGCACGTAACCACATAACTTCCGTGCCTTGTTATATTTAAACTTAGAAATGAATGATTCCGATTCGCATGATGCGTTTGATCGAATAGCCGTGTATGTGTTAACCCCGTTGGTGTGCCCGCGGACTGGGCAGAAAAGTTGCCCAGTCCGCGGACTGGCCACCCCCGTTGCCCTGTCCGCGAACTGGCCATTTGATTAGCCCAGTCTGCGAACTGGCTGCCGAGTCCGCGAACTGGCTGGTGGAAATTTGAAAAATCACGCCAACGGGCTACCCCTAATCTTAAAGACGCTTATGATGACTAACCGGAAGATAAACATCGCAACAATTTCACCTTCACACTTTGTACAGGCTTAGGACTGTCAGCCGATGAGGAAAAATTTCTAATGTATTGAACAAAACGAAAAAGAAACTTCTTCTTAATTTTTATTTGATTTTCGTACTTCTAAACCTTTGTGGTTTAGGGACGTGTGGATATCTTCTATTGTTTGATAGGCTGTGGGTTTCGTGACCATCAGCAGACTATCTTTTTTACGGGCTACTCTTTTCACACCCAAAAATTCGGTGATTGAGTAATTTTCTCTTGCGTGGTAGTAGGTTCTGGACCGTTTCTTCCCTCCAGCCGCCTGACAGCTCAGATGAGCCAGAACATCAGCTTCGTACGTCTCGTCCCAAAGCAAAGAACATTTCTCAATGGCTGTCAACGCTGCAGTGTTCATGTTCAGTCCAAATAGGTCAAAAGGAAAACAAAAAGTTGAACTGTCAGCTCAAATTTGAAAAACCTGAAAAACACCCAAACACTTCAAAGGGTGCCACATCCTCTAACTGACTATGAGTTTAATTTCCAATTCACAATTATTATTACCATAAGCACACCTTGACATTCACAAGTTAAAACTGCTTTTACTGTAGGAGCTCTTCTAAGTGTAATTGTAGATATTCTGTTTTTGACCAAGAAAAAATAATATAATCATTTTTCGTGAGGAGTCCACGCCAGCAACCTCACAGAAACGCACATCAAATATTTTCACTTCACAACAAGAAAACACTTCAATTTATTGACTGACAAAATGACCAATTTTAAAGAAATCGTAAAAATCATATAGGTGCCACAATTTAATCTCTTCTCAATAGAAAGAACACTCACATACATCACTCCAAGAAATTGTAATGGACAACTCCTCAGTCCAAAATAGTAAATAATATTACACCATCACAATTTAAAGTTCTGCAGAGTGAAGCGTTGATTTCCCTTTTTAGTCTGTTAAATTAAATCTAATACTGCTTTTCACATGTACGAAACATATCACACATCATTCTGAAAATTAACCAAAATTAAAATTGTTTGACCCACTCTAATGCTTCACTACTAGACAGATAAAACATACTTATGAAGCCACAGGCAAGTAATTTTCAGTCAAGCACGAACCTATTCAGACACTAATTGCCAAATGGAAGTTGTCAACAGCCTCATTCCCCAGCTATCAAGGTGAACCCCATCTTTGCTCACATGCTGAGGAGCCTCAATCCCTTTCAGCCCTTTTCTTCTAGCTATTGAGGCAATCCAGTCGTTGGCTTGACGGATTGCCTCAGTCAGAAAACGTCTCTTTGGGATAGGAGGCAGCTTAACAAGAATTATATTCTTGAAGCGTGATGCCACAGCATTCCTTGCCAGATCGTAATAGTCAGAGTAATCGAATCGGCCATTCTTCAGGAAATCGTTTGTTCCCAGAAGGATGACCAGATTCGTTGACTCCAAAACTGCTGTCTTGTCACAGAAATTACTAAACGTTTCAAGATCTTTTTTCACAGTGCTCCCAGAGACTGCTAAATCAACCACTGATAGATGAATAAATTTATTTTTGAAGAACTGAGTTCTCTGCATCCTCCTTAGAATGCTATCTCCCAGCAAGAGAACTTTTTTCTGAAACAGGGCAGACACTGCGCTAGACATAAAATCGTGATCCTGTTATTTTTTCATGACGATCAATATTTGCATAATTAACCTGAAGTTTGCTCAAAGCCGTCCACCTGCAAAAATCATTTCTATCTCCCTATGGTAAGCTGCAGTAATTTTTTAAAATATGTCCCAGACGAAGACAAAAATGTAAATTAAATTTTATAAAATAAGAATTAGAGGTGTCGCCACATAAGTTGGCAGTTGATTACTTCTGAACTCACACTTGAAATTAAACGAATTTACGAATGCCTCTCACTCGTAACTATCGGTATTCATGCGTAACATCGGCGTATGAGTTTTAAAGGGGGGGGGGTGACAAGGTCTTCCGAAGCTTTCCTCTTTATTTTGTTAGCGACTATTTCTTTTAATATTTTTTTCGGAGATAAAGCCTTGTGATTATGTTGTTTTCCGTTCCTCTCGATTATACTTTCCACAGCAGGATCAACTAAAACACTGTTTGTACACGTTTTATTCGCACATCGAACTCGCTTTTGCCCACTATTTAAACGTATTTGAAAGCACAAATTTATACTTATTTATAATAATACACGGCCAAACCAATGGTCCCGTAAACAGAGCGACCGCTGAGCACCGATACTGCATTTCCCACTTATCGGACTTATACGCGGTCAAGTCGCTCCTAGTCACTCATTTTCAGCAGCGATAAAGACTCAGTCAGAGGAGCACTGTGAATTACAAGTACAACGTTGCCATGTCGAACGTATCGCTTGTGCGAGTCGCCAAAATGATACGTTCTTTTGGGCGAGTCGCCTAAGTGACGTACATCCAGGAGGGACCAAAAAAAGTCCGCCGGGGTTTGAGTAGAGGCGGAGGTCATAGCGACGGAGGTCCATGCCGGCTGGGTGACAGTTGTCTGGGTGGCTACGTCTCTGGTGCTCCGGACCTCGACCATGTGAGAAATGTCACCGAATCGTCTGGCTGGTAGGACGGCTGTCCTTGGCGGCAGGATCACAGTGCTCGGACAATGGATCTGATTCAGAAGTAGCCTGTAGCTTTACCTCATTTGCTCGTTTAATTAGATTTAAATCTATAAGCATGTGCTAAGGCCCAAAATAGGAGTCGCCTCATTCTCAACTACAAGAAATAATTCAGTTTGTTGCCCACTTTTTGTGGCACAATTAACATTCACACAACCAAGCGGCTTAATAATAAAATTTCCGCACGTCTCAATGACCGTCTTGGTCGGCAATAAATCACTATTGTGAGCAATTTGCTCAAATACACTAACCGGCGTCGTCCGATATGATGATGGGGGAGGGGCGAACCGCACTGGTTGGTCGCGGCCTCGGAGGAGTGGGCGGGAGGGGAGAGAGCACCGAAGGCGTGCCTAGCAAGCTACAGGTTTTAAGGAACCTTCGCCACTCTGAGGTCGTGAGCGCGGGAGAGAGAGGGGTGAGCAGGGGAGCGGATGTCTTCCTCCGAACCGACGCGTGGTGTTTTCGCTCGAGGCGGACGGGCGTAGTGGGGCGAGGAGGCTTCCGCCCGGGGTGCCGTCCTGCGGCAGCTGGAGGTTGACGCGAACGGCTGTCCGTTAGGGTGGACGGCGGTGAGGCGCGAAACGCACGCTTACTGGGAAATGCACGAGGGACGCGTGCCGTGCGGCTGTCCGGGGGCTGAATGCCGCGGGGGTTGGACCTGATGGATTTCGCGGAAGCCTGGTGGAGGTGCTGGCTGCGGAGGGGCTCGAGCTCCTCGTGGACGCGGTGGGCAGCGGGCCTAACCGGCGGAAGACCGTGGTTGGTTGCGGGCTTAGCGGAAGGTTGCGGCCGGCTCATCTGTGGGTGCTGCCGACAGGGGCCTCTGGAGCGAGGTGATCTTGACGGGCCGCGTTGGCTGTCTTGTTGTGGGAGACTTGTATGGTTGCAGCCTGGCCTGTGCGGGTTGTGTTGGCTATCTCGCTTGGGGGGGGGGGGGGGGTGTGGATGTCTGCAGCTTGGCTGCCGCTCTAAGAAGGGCTGCTCCTGAGGTTGAAGGCGGAGTCAGCGGCGTCGCCGTGATGACTAATGGCTCATCGTCCGAGGAGGAAATGGACAATTGCGACATTCGGGCAGCAGATTATAGCTCCAAGGTACAAGCGTCTCCCAAAGTTTGGGCGGCACTTCCTCTAGCAGTTGGGGGTCGTTAGAGGCCCATTTTGCGAGTGAAAATCCTCCTTCTGCTAGAACTGCTATCAGTTCCTTAAGGACACTGAGAGCCTCTTCCGTTGAACATCTTCCTGAGGTGATGTCGGCGTATGCGTCATCGAGTATCATTCGGGCTGCGCGGGGGCATGGGCTTGGTAGTCCCTGGCTAGCTGCTGCAGCGTCCTAATTGCTAGGAAGGACGAGCTGTTTACACCGAAAGTGGCTGTGGTCATCTGGTATATTTTCAGTGGAGGTCTGGTCGCCACAGGACTAGGTGGAAGCGGCGATCTACTGGGTGTAGGCTCACTTGCTGGTACATTTGGCGGATATCGCACGAGAAAACCTTTTTGTGCCTCCTGAAGCTGAGCAGGACGTTGGTGCCGAAACCCGGGAAGTAGGCCTCAGTTGCCGGACTTCCCAAAAGCACGACCCATATAAAATTCCGTCTAATATTATTTCATTGTTCTAGTCTGTAGCAGGTAACTGCACAACTTACGCGCTTTGTGAGTTTTAAACTCACCCGTGAAAAATCTCGTCTCACGTGATGCACTCGACCGATTAACTGCGTATGCAGCCGTGGGTTTCTCCAGAAGCACGTTAACACACAACTTCTGTACTTTGTGAGTTTTAAAGTCACAAGCGAAAAATCTCGTCTCGTATGATGAGTTCGACCAATTAGCCGTCCATGCAGCCTTTAGAATCTCCAAATGCACGTAACCACACAACTTCCGCGCTTTGTGAGCTTTAAACTCACAAGTGCAGGATCTCGTCTCACATGATGCGCTCGACCAATTAGGCGTGTATGCAGCCATTAGAATCTCGAAAAGCACGTAACCACACAACTTCCGCACTTTGTGAGGTTTTAAATTTAGAAATGAAATATCTCGATTCGCATGATGCGTTCGACCGCTTAACCGCGTATGCAGCCGTGGGTCTCTCCAGAAGCACGTTACCACACAACTTATGCCCTTTTTGATTTTAAACTTAGAAATGAAGGATCTCGTCTCCCATGATAAATTCGAAGGATTAGCCTGGTATGTAGCCCTTAGAAAACTATCCTTTCGACATCTATTGAGATACTTTTGTGATAGCAAAATATTGAGAAATACTTACTATATAGTAAATGATGATGTTATCAGCAAGTTATCAGCTGTAGTTGATAATCACATGATCTCAATTCATAACAACCACTGCCACCAACGGGAAAGATGACGGAAGACGATGAGAAAAAGCTAAATCCCATGAAAACATATTACGGGCCTGGGAGGCTAGGGGTTAGTCATTTAAGTGGTGGACAAGGAAAACAGAATTGCTGTGCACAAAAGAAAAATGTCAATTTTTTTTCTTCTCTAAGAATTATGTTTTTATGGGTTTTTATCGAGCTATTTGTGAAGGACAGACTTTTTGGTCAATTACAGCCGCTGTGGCGCGAATAATAAAAAGTCGCCGGGCCTCGTAAACCCATTTTGTCATCTAAGGGTTAACACACCAGCTTCTGGATTTGTGCAGGTAAGCCCTGTCATTAGATCCTGTAGCTCTTCATCATTAATTCCTTGGCGAGGCTTTCCAATGTCATGTCTGACATGGAAATTGTACATTGCTCAACGGCTCCGAACTCTACAGCTATCTTTATCAAATTTTTGATAAATTGAGTTTTTTTTTTCATCTCTCTTTTTTTCTAAGATATCAATGCACTAATTTTTCATCAACTTTCTCATCAAGTGAGACGAGATGCAAGGCTCATTCTTCTCTATTCAGCTTTGGTGCATCAGGATACTTACGCAACATTCTGCAATTTTTGTACACCCAACCTACCTGTTTCATTTCGTGGAGTGAATAGGAAGCGCATGGCTGCTGAAACTTTGTTCATTAGCAGCAAAAAAACAACTTCGCTACTTCTACTGTCGCAAAATTGTCAAAGTCCTTTCCTATCAGTTTTAAAAAACGGTACGCCTACAGTATGAAAAATTGAAATGCTCCGAAATTCTTCAATTTTGCCGCGGAAGAAGAACGCAAAACGTGGCGCGAAGTTTCGATAACGGCGTCACACCTGCGGAAAAATCAAACAACCAAGGAAAAACCCCGAAACCGTGGACGCAAGACAAAGCGCAAGTAAAAACTTGGGCTAAAAAATTAATTGAACGCTTCCGTTCAAGAAAAACGCAAGCCGCGTGGTATCCTAACGACGTGAAGGCGCTTCTGTTACCGCGGCTCTCGTTCCCGACCGCGGACCCGAAAGGTGTTTGCCGAGCCCGAAACTCGGGACGACGACGGATTGATAAAAAGGCACAAAAGGGGGTGCAACTCGGCGGGGGTTGCGAAGCGGAAGGGGTGGGGTGCCGATATCCGCGGATCGGATTGTATTATTCTTATAATTAATTGAAAGCGCCCGGCAGCCCGGCGAAGTGCATGCAGGTATGCGGCGCGGGCCAATTGTCGAAAGTTCCGTAAGTATTTCATTTATTAATGGTAATAAGGGGGCTCCCCGTGAGCGAGCGGGGAACGAGCGAAAAGTGCCGAAACAATAAGGAATCCCCGCTAACCCTGCTGCCGCCGCTCCTACTCCCGTGCTAAGCAAGAACGCCGTATGAGCCGTAAGGCGTTGCCAAATTTCTCCTCGATTAATCACGAATTTTCAGGTAAATTCGTGAGAATCCCTTCTGCGAGTTTTCAGAGATTTTTGTTCGTATGTGTATGTATGAGCCGCTTTTACGGCGTGCTAGGGCGCTCTGCGACGCCTATTCTCCACAGGAATCTGTCATGGTAGAGATCCTCCGGAAGCTGGCATCTCTCCATCTCTTCACGGATGCCCTCTACCCACCGTTTGGCTGGACGCCCTCTCCGTCGTTTTGTTCGTAATTTGATGGAAAAAGTCCGAACATTTCAAGGAAAAATGAATTGCATTCAGCAAAAAGGAACCAGCACTGGAAAAAAAAAACACATTGGATCTAGAGTCGAGACTCTTGAAAATATTGACAAGATAAAGGACTCTTGATTTAATCAGATTTAAGCTTAAATTAAAAGGAAATCCGCTCAAATTAAGAGGTTTGGTTCTTGATTAAAGCAAAAATCCGATCGAATCAAGAGTATTTTTTCTTGTCGATGTTTTTAAGAGTCTGGAGTTCTGCACTGAGAAAAAACTATGGCTTATAAACCTATTAGAGGTAAATATGGAACACCACTAATAGTAGTACCTCTACATATAATAATAGCACATATACCTTAGTTATGGTCTCTGTACCTTAATTAGGTACAGAGACCTTAGTATGGTTCACAGACCGAGAATCATTAGTTTATTTACGACTATTATAGGTGTTCCATATTTACCACTAATAGGTTTATAAACCATAGCTTTTTCTCAGTGTGGACCCTAGATCTAATGTGTTTTTTTTCCAGTGAGCGCGTGCTAGTGTTTTAAGAATTGCACAACTTCCTCTTTTCTCACGAAATACTTGAAATGTGTACTGTGTTAAAAATTAACAGCATTATTTTTCTTAAGGCTTCGCCAAATTTCCTTCGATAACTCACAAATTTTCAGGAAAGTTTGTGAATATTTCCTTTCCGATTTCTCTGAGGATTTTATTCGTAATTTGATGAAAAAGTTCGGTAATTTCAATGAAAAAGGGATCGCATTTAGCTAGAAGGAACCAGCGCGTTTTCGGTGTTCTGAAATTTGTGTAACTTCTTTTCTTTTAAATATTCTAGAAGTATGTAAAGTTTTAAAATTATGCACAGTAATTTATATTATTTTTTTTTTTCAAAATTAACAATTTTTGGTGGGAATCCAACTATTTGCTTTTCTTGGAGTTTTTTTTAGATAATTACGAACAAGCACCATCTCGATGACACTGGAATTGAGCTCGTTCCTTTTTGCTAAAAGCGATCCAAATATTCATAACTGTTTTCAAATTCAATATTTTCTAAGAGGCACTTTGGCAGCATTCGTATGCCCATATGGTGTTTTTAGTTAGCACGGTAGTATACAGGCCCGCTTTTGGGTCAGGCTAACGGGCGCTCGAAGCAGTTAACGAGCATGTTTCCCGGAGAACATGGTTGGAAACCTGATTTTCGTATTTGGATTTATGATACTGTAGGTGGACCTCCGAGCAGTCCGACTAACTTTTTGCTCTTTTCTTGGTCATGTTTTGCTTAGAACGTAATTATGAGGTCGAAACTTAGCTTCATCTTAACAGAACTGAAATAATGTCTTTAATTTTTGGAAGTGGTTATTCAGCGGTATACAGTACTGTCTTAAATGAAACGTTATTCGACGATATGGTACCGCCGAATAACGCCAACTTAAATTTTTAAAATATATTTTAACATTCAAATGTAACGATACCTTTTCTGCACCTGCACTTCGGTGCAAGAAAACCAACTTTGTGATTTTTTCTTGCTGGGAATCTAAGTAAATATATGAGTTTGAACCGGTTATGTTTTGCTTAGAACGCAATTATGAGGCAAAAACTTAACTCTATCACAAAAGATCCAAAAAACGACTGAATTTATTTTTTAAATTTAAAAACATAATTTAATGGTCGAATAATGGCTTCATTATCAATTTAGATCATCTTCGTGTTTTCTTCTTACTGTGAGCTTTTATGGGACCTGGGAGAAAGTGTTTATAAGGGCGAATGTTCGCTATATCAGTG